TAAGATACTGACAGCCCTCAGCACAGTTATGTGCTAGGCACTCACCTACACAGACAGATTGGGTCTTTTTCTGCTCTGTTATTATGATGCAACCCCAGTGACTCACTTTTACATTGGTAACACCACAATAGTAATTGAGAGCAGAATTTGACTCCTTCACGGTAGATTAAGTATGTATGTATTTAACTTGGACTCCTTCATTGAGTCTGTGTTCATGCCAGCTCTGAAATACAGATGGGTCTAAAAACTTCTTGAAGAAATGGGTCATCACTGGGTAGTGACATTCTAGCCCACCAGTGTGTATTGAAGATGAAATTCATCCCAGCACAGAAGGCCTCTGAAAGACTCCATATGCTCTGAAGCTCTTACATGGGATATAAATGGCCTGTATGGTTTTCCACAGATCCTGTAATGGTTAGATTTCACCCACAGGCAGTTTTAAGAATGTGGATAACTGAATTTCATTTCTTAATGTGTGTTTAGGGTAAACGAAACTTAAAAAAAACTGACTGAACATAAAACCTCAATGTCATTGATGATGAAATGGTTTCTTTTATGTAGAAAGTCCCAACCTTATGCACGTCAATTCTAAAAATAATTATTTTTCAATTATGGAGTGCAGCAAATACCGAGGACAGCCAGATCACCGACAAATGGTAACACCCCCCCCTCCCCATTTTCCCATTTCATATAAACAAACAGATTTTTTAAAAAATACCTTATCCTTTGATCCCTGCTAGGATCCTGTTTTCTCCCAGAGTGGCAGGAGTTAAATCTCATATACGAAGTTTTTAGCAGCAGCCATTGAGCATCTTGCAGGTAAGGGTTTAGAATGGAAAATCCAATTAACTGGTGTGTCCCTACAACATGTCCTATTCTGACATACTGTAGTATAGGATTATACATTTGTCTTCAGCTCTCTCTGGATCCACTGCTAACTCTATTGTGACACACAGTACAGCCTATCCCCTTCCCTGCTTGATTTTCCCATGGTTTTATCGCTGAAAGAGAAGAAAATTTCATTAACTGCAGCCTGTGCACTATGACTTAATACTCCAAGGTCAATACTGCTTTGGTGCTAGAGAGGCTTCACCTAGCAAACTCCTCACCCCAAACGAAACGGAACAGGAAACAGACATTTCAACAGAGGTGATGGCCTCTGCTCCCACACTGACATGACACAATTCATAGATTTGATTTGATTCAGAAAGAAGATACTTTTATTAAATTATCTACTGATGAGAAGAAAAAAAAACAAATAGGGCTGCCACACTTTGCAGAGCAATGATTGCAGAGCAATGGACAAGCAAGGATTAAGTCTTCGCTGTCAGCTGGAGTAGGACTTCACCCTGAACAAGAGGATCAAGTCACACGGCACTCCAGGGGATGATCCTATCGTTTTTACTCTGGCAAGTTTGACTTCAAACAGGAATTCTGTCGCAGTAGGAATTTCAGAACCTAGTTCTTAGCAGGAACCACAAGCATATTAGCTCCCCAGACAATGCACTGGGAAGAGCAGCCCATGCATCTCACTTCATTTTGGCTACACTGGAGAAGCTGCTTGCAGTCATAGTTTGGCTTTGCAACAGTGGACTCCCAGTGGGCACAAAGCAAGGGCAGGGAATTTCTGGGAATTTAATGCTATTGCTACAAGGTTAACCCCACTCAGACGTTCAGCCTCATCTCTACTGCATATCAATAGTGTGCAATTTCTAGAGGCTGCCTGACATACCTTATTACGTATGTAAGCAATTTACTAAACTATAAGAGAGGCTTATTTTACAGTTAGATGCAGGAAGAGAATTTTGCCTTTATCTGGCATAAGGCTGCTCCAATGTTTGGCTTTCTTACCCTCATCTGTTTTGTCCAAAGCACCAAATATCAGTGTCTAGCTTCAATGTATGAATCATGAGAGGGGAGAATTTTGCCCTAATTTTTCAAATAAACATCTCTCCCGTAGAAGAATTTGGTCCCTTAATTATTGATTAAGAGTGCCCTACAATCAGAAAAGATGTTGAGGTTAGACTACTGTTTGCTAACCCCCACCCTTTCCCCTTAAATCTAGATAAACAAAGTTTGTATATCTTTACTATGGCACTCCCCATCTACCCTGCAGAGAACACTAGCTACCTCTGATGATACAGAAAGCTAAAACCTTCTTAAAGAAGTGGATCATAATTTCATGGTGCTGTTATATTCTAGCACAGTGGTTCTCAAACTTTTTTTTACTGGTGACCCCTTTCACATAGCAAGCCTCTGAGTGGACCCCCCTTATAAATTAAAAACACTTTAAGTATATTTAACACCATTATAAATGCTGGCGGCAAAGCGGAGTTTGGGGTGGAGGTTGACAGCTCGCGACCCCCCCATGTAATAACCTCGTGACCCCAAGGGGTCCCGACCCCCCATTTGAGAACCCCTGTTCTAGCACATAAGAACCCATGTGCTTTGAGAGTTTTCAGAAAGTGGATTATCACTCAATGGGAGATCTTTACAGGTAAGGAGAGTACTGGGGCATGCAATTCTGAGACAATTCTGGACTTATCTGTAATTGGTCTCCTAGGAGTCAGAAAAGTATTACTATTTAGAATTAATCTGCAGATGACACAGAGTGCCTTATTGTTTGATATCAGTATGTGTAGTCAATTACTTATGAACCCTGACATGCATCTGTTTACTGTTTCAGAGCTGGTGTTGAGACAGCACTGCTTGTACTTTTACAGGTCAGTTATATCCTCTTTTTAAAATTAACCCCCCCTTCCACCTCTTCAAGCCCCAAAATTGAGAATAAGCTAAAAAAACCCTCAGCTAACAGAGACATCGCGCGCACACACACACACCCCGCCCCATAAGACACTCCCCACCTCGGCAGGACATACATACACTCGCCCCCACAGGACATGAAGGGATTTGCAATGCAAAGTCCTCTTCGCCTCTTCTCCTAGGAGATTTATGGTCAGACTGTGATGCTCTTACTCTGCCAATGGTCCCTTTGACTTCAATGGAATAAAAAAATTCCCAGCGTGAAATCCCACTGAAGTCGATGGGACTATTAGAAGAACAAGGGCATCACAGTCTGGCCCATATCAAGGCACGGATATGAAGTACAAGCCTGTTCAACAAGCATCTATGCAGGTGACGCAATCTCCCCAGGCTCTGATATGTGCCCAGTCTTGCTGTGTCGCCTGCTTCCTGCCTGGCATACACATCACAAAATAAGAAATCAGTTTAGCAAATTTGCTTCATATGTTAGACTATGTGAATCGAATAACAGTAAATAAGGTCACAGAAAAGCATGCATATCTTTTGAGGACAGGGGGAAAAAAAGACACACATCTTGCTTGGGTTAAGTTGTAAGTGCTACAAAATATCATTTAGTTCTCCAGATATTACAGGGACTGAAATTTACAAAAGATCAGAAAACAAGTCCTTAGCTTATACAGGCAACGCTGGTAAAGCAAAAGGGGCATATTGAGCCCTCAATCCATATGCCAAACTCCGACCAATGTGAATGTCAACAGGACCTGTAGGCATGGACTGGGGATAAGTCTATGGCTCAGTGTTTTGTCTTAAGGTTACAGAACTCTTCACTCACAATGAGAATAAAGAAAGGCTACCATAGTATATCCATCTGTTAAATTTTTGCTGTAACATTTCTAACGGTAGCTTTTTTTTTTTTAAGAAGTTCATGGCTTGTAAAAAGAAAAAAGTTTGTAGATGTATAATCACTTCACATCTAGAACCCAATTTCTCCATTTTTGGCCAACAATATCCCTCTCTACTGACTGATCACCAATATAGAAACCTAGAAAAATCATCTGTGACTCAGATTTCCTATCAGATATTCAGGGCTCCCACTGGAGATAGATCCACAGGGAACCTCATTTCTCTTGGTTAACAAGCAGCTTACTGGTTTCATAAATGTGGAGCTAGGGAAGCTCCCTATCTCATCAGCCCTATATTGTATTTGCCCCCCCGGCCCTGGTGATAACTAGCTTCTGTGCAGTGCTGAGTTTTGCCTTCATTCCATGCTGTGAATTCACTTCTGCTGTATTTATTTTTATTGCGCTTTCTCTCTGAGATCAAGATGTACTGAAGTCTTTGATTCTATGAACTAGATTCAGTGCAACCCCAGAGTTCTCTATTTCTGCCAAACTTGCTCTCTCTCTGCAAGCTCATAGGAGGGCAGAGGTCACCAAGGCCTTGCGGGATATTTTGATTTGCAGCGATCCAGCTGGATAGCGGACACTACTCTTCCTACATCAAGCACAGAGCCGTTCACAGCACACAAATGTTCAGAGAATAAAAGCCACATATTGCATCAGTGGCACTAAGGCCACGTCTACACTACCCGCCAGATCGGCAGGTAGTAATCGATCTATCGGGGATTGATTTATCGTGTCTCATCTAGACACGATAAAATCGATCCCCGAATCGACACCCGTACTCCAACTTGGCAGGAGGAGTAAGCAGAGTCGACGGGGGAACCACGGCGGTCGACTTGCTGCCGTGAGGACGGCCAGGTAAGTCGAACCAAGATACTTCGACTTCAGCTACGCGAATAGTGTAGCTGAAGTTGCATATATTAGATCGATCCCCTCCCACCCTCCCAGTGTAGACGAGCCCTAAGACAGAATGCTTCTCTCTCACAATGCAAATCACTTAGGACACCCAGCCAGCTCAACTGCTGGCCTCTGCACAATCCCTGCCCCTCCCAAACCCAGCTCTCACTCTGGTCCACTGCAGGGCTCCTGCATGAGCACAGAGTTAAATACTGCAGCAGACCACTTTTTGTTTTTAAAAAAGGAGCCATGTGGCTTTTAAAAAATGTTCGGTCTTTTCCCACAGCTCCCGTAACACTGACATGTTGATTATTGTTGAGTAATACAGAACAGGCACATGTGAGTTCATCTGCATGGCAATGCATTACCCCTCTGCTCACACAGCACATGTTTTGACAGCCCTACAGGTACACTAGGGGATTCAGAATTCTGAGCGAAAACTAACTCACATACTGCAACTTAGTTAAAAAAATAATACTAAAAGAGGAGTTAACCAACGGGAATGGCTCAGGCCAATGCTGACTTGTGTAAACATCAGGACTCAGCTCCGACTAACTGTTCCTCTTGGAGGATTCAATGCTAGTAATTTTGTTGCCTTGCAAATTTAGTATTTTAATGATTACAGCATCCTAAGACAGCCCCCATTAATTTCCCTCGCAATGGATGGCTTGGAAGCCTACTAATTTAGTTACTGGTCAAGAAATCGGAGATGAATGACAGATTGAGGCACTGGGAAATGGTACAGATTCCTGGCTTTCAGAGCAGTAAGCTTGAATGGATGGAGCTGGCCATCCATAGTAGCTGCGCAAAGCCAATCATTCTTTTTTTACTTCCTTTTCTGCCTTTCTGTTTTATCAGCCCCCTCTCTTTTTCCTGCAGTTACCCAAAGCCCTAAACCTTTGGTGGGGACCAGTAATACACTGAGTCACAGCAAGTGGTCAGAAGCATTCTTCCACTGCAATGCAGCATACTCCAAGAACAGATGGAAAGACAGGAGTGTTGAGACCAGTGAAACTCACATCTGAAGTAGCCAATGTGTTAACTTACCTTCACTGTCCTCAGCCAATTTGGGTAGAAGATTAGATAGTAAGCGGCTGTTCCCTTCTTGGTGTACATTAACATGGGACAGCAAGTATACATTAACATGAATAGCAGGAATTCGAGTCTGCTGGCAGACCATACTACCGAGATTAACTGATGGTCCATAAAAGCATGCTGACAGCTTCAAAGATAGATTCTTTGAAGGACAGGGAGAGACAGAGCACTCTCACAAAAGATACAAAGATTACCCCCACTGGAATTCTTTTGCCTTCACATGGGATCAAAAAACAGTCTGAGAATTTGTTAATTGCAGATTAAACTGAGGTGGCATGGAATGGAATCCCACTCCAAGGCATCATCCAAGCAGCACTGACACCGCTGTGTGATGGGATGGATCTGAAACTAAAATCAAAAGGGTTAACAAGCTCCATGTACAGCCTGTTTTAAAGGCATTTAATTAACTGTAAACCATTGCTGTGACAAACAGAAAATTGGGGGGAAAACGGAGTTAGAGTTCTAGTGAGAATTTTCTTTAGAAAAGTGCTGGTGAAAGACACAACTTTCAAATCAAAACATCCTGAAAAACGGCTCCGCTAGCTCATGCTTGGAACTAGGAGAACTCTCTTCTTTATGTATTTGGTGCCGCTCATCTGCAATCTGGGAGGGTCCTGCTCCTTTTAGAAAAGGGCCTGTGCTCAGTCAAGCGAGAAGATGCTGGTGGTGATAACGCGTGTGTGTGTGTGTGTGTGTCTGGGTGTGGATGGCTGCATGGGGAAAGGCTTTATACGTGCGCCTCAGTGGCAGGACAGCCTGGAAGAAGCTCACCATTCATGACAGTCTCTGAAACCAACATCTTGTCTTTGCCAGAATCCATCTGCTGCTTCTTGAGCATTCTTTGATGGATCAGAGGAACAACAGACAGGACCAAGCCCCCAATAATTGGGGGAACTCCAGCTAAGTAAAAGGCTAGGTAGTAATTCCCAAAATAATCATGGAGGTATCCTGAAAAACAAAAGGACACTGGTTGTTGCTTCAGTATGATGGCTAATCTAAGCTTCCTAAATCAAAAGAGGAGACAACTTAGTTTCTCTCCAACTCCGTCATAAATTAGACTTGGAGGGATTTGATATTTAAAGCATGGAATAATATCGATGTTTAGTTCCACAGGGTGGGATCTTCCCCACTGGTAGGTAAACAATTGTATCAGAATGGCATTTTCACACTAAGAAATTTAAGAATCAGAATCTCAAATGCTAAATTGTTATTTAAATCAGAGCTGAAGGTAGAATCTCAGATTCACCCCAAAAATAAAATCAAGGTATTTAATAATCAGACATTTCAGATAAATTTCTTAAATACTTGATTGCCAAACAAATATGACAAGCAAAGAGGGTAACGGCAATCTATAAGTGCAATTGATTCGTTCTTAACTTCCTTCCTTTGTAATATTTGGTTTGCTGATGCATGTTTTAGTTAATTTTTTGGTTAGGGATGAAATGAACAGCTACTGACATGTACCAATTATGAATGAATCCCTCCAAACCCAGTCATAACTCTGCACTTCTATTAGTTCAGTGAGTTCTGAGATGGCCAGGCTTCTGAGATTGATGAATTTACTGCCATCATCATTCTAGGGCTGTTGGAAACTCACTAGGAAGGGGCTGCTGGGAATTTTCCTACATAGGAATTGTATAAATGAAAGACACCTAATCCTGTGTCTGATAGACCCAGTTCAGGATGCTTCTGATGAATAGTGCTATAAGGCTTATAATTCTGCAACAGCCAGAGTTTCTTCCTGAAAACAGCTGGTGATCAGTTTGTGCCCAGTTGTCTACGGATTGACAACCTTCATTAATTTTTTAGCTTAGCTAGTGCAACTGCAGATGCTCTTCTTATCCTGCAGAGGGTTTACACACACATTCAAGTTTAAGAACTTTGAGACTACTCCCATGCTTAAATATGTGTCCAAGTCTTTCTAGGATCAGGGCCCAAGCGTATATCTTTAGATTTGACTCAATTTAGGGCCTTATCCTTTGCTGATCAGGCAAAACTCCAACCCTAAATGTCATATGAGAGCAGTTCATAAGTGCCACCTACATAACTTTAAGTCCAGCTCTCTGCCAGATTACTGGAATGTTCACTAACTCTGGGCACTTTTGTTATTAATTATGCTCAAAAATTTGACTAAATTGCCTTGAAAATGAATCATCCTCTGCTCATTTTTTCAATTATTCAGCTGCCAGAAGGGAAAACTGCTGGCAATCAAATAATGGAAAAAAGGGCTAATTGTAGACGTATTTCAGGCAAAGTCAAAGTGGATACAGGATCAAGTAAATGTAAGAAACTGCATCACACAATATGAGAACAGATGAAGGTGACAATCCTACTCCTCTAACAACACATCACCCCTCCAATAATTTAATGCAAAAAGACAGAATTCTAACTAAATCCTAGGGCCCTACGTTCTGATGGTTACTGACCTGCTATTGGTGGGCCAGCTGTCATTGGAATGGCCATAAGTCCCAGGAGATAGCCAATGGCTTGAGAAGCTTGCATGGGTCCAACCAGTTCAAAGGCTATGGGGGCCATGATGGTTATAAAGAATCCATCACAAAGTCCGAGGAAGAGGCAGACGACAATGACCCCCTCAAACGCTTGGCACTGAGGGATCATCATGCACATGAGGCCCAGAAGCATAAAGGAGGCAACCTGAAGAGGCAAAGTATAGACATCACTAAGATAACTGTGACAGACAACAAAATCATGCCTTCCTAATGCAAGTCCAAGGGCAGCAGGGACATTAGAGGCAGAATATTATTCCCCATAGTTCCAGTCTGTAGTTTCCTTGGTGACCTGAGAGCATTTCCTTTTAAGAGAAGAGAGCTTGTTGGAGAAATTATGCAAATAATTTAGGAACCCATTGCCAGCTCCCTAGCCTTCTGGCTACAAGTGTCTGGACTGACCTTGCCAAGTACTACATCCAATAAGCAACCTGTCTCTCTTCCAGACCCCACACACTCTCCGGAATGGCCACACCTTCTTGACTGCCCCAGATATTTGCTTCCAACTAAATTGCTCAATTGCTTGCCACTCTCCTAACCTTGACATGTTGCTTCCAGGCATCCCACCTGCCCCGTGCCTTGGAACACTCACTACTTAAGGGCCAGATTTCCAAAGGCATTTAGGCACTTAAAAAATGCAGGTAGGCACCTCACAGCATTTGCAAAGGCACCTAAGCAGATTCAGCACCTAACTTCATTGAAATCTATGCAAGTTGCCTGACTCACATAGATGCTTTTGAAAATGCCAGTAGGAGTCTAAATACCTTAGAAAATCTGGCTCTAGGCTCTGACTTTGCCTCCCCTATGCCACATGCTTGAGGTAACATGGCCCAGAAACCTAAAGAGAACTACAGAGAATGAAGAGTCTGTGGAAATAATGAAAAGGAAAAAAACTTGCAGGAGAAGAAAAGCCCAGCATATTAGCAAACCTATTAAGTGTTAATAAAGTTACCCAACACAAAGGCCCTCATTAAGGTGACTTTAAAAGGATGCAATTACTGCCTATTGTATTTGGTTACCTTTTTACAGCCTGTAGGATCTTTGCCACAGCTGCAAGAATAAATATTTAGACCTCCTGGTTCTTGGAACTGCATGCAAGCCTCTAGTCTTGGTAAAGCTATCTAGTTTGAAAGATAACACTAGTAATTTCCTTTCCTGCCTAAACTATAGAAAGAAAAGGCAGGAATGATACTCAGGGTTTTAGCTTTTGGAGAAAGAAAATCAAACAGAAATGAGGCAACACACCTATACCAGGGCAATAAGGAACAAAGGTGTTTTAGCCCCGCATGGCAGATCTACCTGACATTACACGTGAGGCTAGATTCGCAAAGGAGTATAGATGGTGCTACACTCAGCACTGACTTGCCTAACTTTTAGGTGCCTAGAAAATCACTGGGATTCACAAAGCCTGAGTTAGGCTCCTAGGAATGGGATTCTCAAAAGCCAGTAAGCTAGGTGGCTTTCCATCTAAGCGAGCCAATGGGAGGTGCCAAGGCAAAGGATGTATCCTAAGCCCCGCCCCCTCAGGGAGTTAGTGCCTAAATTCAGACTATAGGGAGGCACCTCCCTCTACTTGGGATTCTCAGCTGCAAATCTTCTTTTGGTGTTTTTGCCTACACTGTTTTTGCAAGAAACTGGGGGGGGGGGTGGGAGGAGAGAGGCCCACCCCCCACATAACTTTCAGCCCATTGGCTAGGGCACTTACCTGAGAGATGGAAGATCCCTGTTCGAAGTCCTTCCTCCCCTTAGACAGAGGGGTGACTTGAACCAGGATTTCCCACATCCAAGGTAAGTATTTTAACTACTGGGCATAGAAGTTCAGAGGGAGGTCCTTCTCCTCCTCCCCCATTTCCCCAGCAGTTTTGTGAAAGCTTGCCTATAGGGGCCCGATCTGGTAGGTGGGCTCTGCACACGTGCACCGGATTGGGCTCTGCAGGCGAAGTAGGTGGAGGAATGCCTCTCTCCCAAGTCCGTGCATTGCTCTGGGACTTAGGGCTGCAACACACATATGCAGAGGCAGAAATATAAGCGCTCAGGGCACTTTTACTGCAAAATTTGAGATGCTAAGTGAATTTAGGTGCCTACAGGGTTCAGCGGCACCAGAGCGGGGGTTCTGTCAATCCCATTTGGGCCTGTTTCTGGGATTTAGGCACCTAACTCCTTTTGTGACTCTAGCCCATGCTGCTTAGAAGGGCTCAATTCTGCCCTAGTATAAGTGGGAGCAATTCCTTTGAAGCCAGGGGAGTTGCTCCTCTTATACCAGGGCTGAATCTGACACTGAAAGAGAGAGGAGAATATAGTTTTGTGTAGGGCCTCTCGTACTCTAGTTATCCCAATGAAACAGCTAGGTACCGTGAAGGCAAACCTAGCAGCAGCTCACAGTCAGTCACGGGGCTTGCCTACATGGTGCAGTAATGCACACTATTGGGTGTGATTTCTAAAGCGCACGAACGTGTTGTGCACTAATTGGGTCTATGGAGACCCTGCTGACAGTACCACTTTAAAGAGCAGCAAGGACCTTAAGTGAGCACCAGCAGGGGCTACACAGACCAATTAGTGCTCAACATGTTAGTGTGCTTTAGAAATCACACCCCTGTTGTGCACATTGCCACATGGCGTAGACAAGCCCTTCACTATCAGAACCAGGATGGTGGGTTTTTTTTTAATTATGATAAGGAATACAGAACAGGACACCAGTTTTACCCCCTACTGTCAACCCAATGATGCCATGGGATCCTCTCCAAGGAAAAACAGAGCGACTACACCCAAACCTTGAGAAAGGCCTTTTAAGAAGCCTTGAGAAGAGCTATCTGATGGATCAGTCACTTGATTTCAGTGGTGTGCTCACAAAATCCAGAGAGGAAGGCAGTGTGTCTAGTGGTCAGGGAAAGACGCTAGGAGTCAGGACTGCCTGAGTTCTAGTCCTATATTATTTCTCTAACTCTCAAGGGGTTGGAAGGGTTAATTGTTTGTAAATCACTCTGAGATCCCTGGATGAAAGGTGCTAAGTGCAGAGTACTGATATTTGTATGGACAAATCATCCCATGGTAGTAAAACTGTCATTCTTAGCATGCACTTTTGTGAGGATTAGGCATAGCATACCTGCAAGAAAATCTTTTTCAGTCCAGGAATGCAGTCACCAATCCGGCCAGAAACCAAGCGCCCAAGCCCTGATGTGGCTCCAAGGCAAACCAAGAGAATCCATTCCTTTTCGTTTTCCTTAAACTCCTCCTCCACATACTTTATCTAGGGTTCAGGGAGGAAAAGAAGGACATTAATCCTCAATAAACCTATTAATTACACACACCAAAAATGGACTTGCTGGGACTGTCAAACATTAAAACAGAAATCTCTAAGAGGAATGTCTATTTTTAGGTACTAATTATAACCATGTATAAAATTCCCCTCAAGGGATTAATTGGTATTAGACAATGGCTGCATAATGCTAGATCCACTATAGAGCACCAAACATAATGGCAGCCCTTACGTAACAGGCTACCACCATCGCCCACCTTATCGGTAATGCCCAGTCACTGCACTGACCTATTTCCCTCACCGCTTATTATGGCTTCAATTCCATGAAGGCAACAGCACGGACCTAAGTTATGCATTACATGGTGGCTCTTACATTTCCTAGGCGGTTTTCTACTTGAGCTGGATGGGTCAGTTTGGTAACCTATTCTCGTAAACTGCAGCAAGTGCTCTAATCTAGGCACTCAAGGGGTTAAAGTCCCTCAGCCTCCCGACTCCGAAGTCTACTTCAGTGGCATGTGGTAACTGTCGTACCTTCCACGACTTACTACACAGATGAAGTCCATGGGGAGGCTCAGCCAATCAGAATGCTCTATTAGTGACACACCCCAAAGCTGGCTCCTGCCTCTCGCTATTTCTGTTCAAAGAGAAGCTTTGCACTGCACTCCACCCTTTTGTCGTCAAGACTCTCCGCAGCTCCATCCATTCCTGTTTTCCTCTCAACCTGTGTCCTCCTTGACCTCTCACCTCCCTGCTCTCAGCGTGGCCCATCCCTCTCACGTTTGAAAAACCATCCCACTTCACATGTGCCAAGCGTCCTCCCACTCCTCCGTAAAAAAACATTTCTTGCCTGAAGCCTCCCTGTGCTGACCTTCTCACTCATAATGCCTCCCCATAGCTCCCTAGGCCTGAGCTCCTGCTCCATTTTGAGCCATCTATTGGGAGTTCCCTACGGTGGAGTGGAAGCTCTTTGGAGTAGGGGCCATGTATCATCAGAGGCTTTGTGAAGCACTACATGCAATTACAGCACTTTAATCAATGGGACTTTTTAGCTGGAAACATGCTTGGGTGTGACTGTTCATAGCTCAGGGGGCTCTGGAGCCATCTGTCTGAGCTGTGGAAGGGTCCTTCAGCCTGGCACCCACCACCTTAGAATCTCTAGGAAGAAGCCATATCCTTAGTCTCTCCCCTCACCTCCTTGCATCTCTCCCACATTGTGGTGATTCTCCCTCTTGCTGAGTACTGGAGATAAGGCTCCTACTGAAGCCCATCAACAGCACTCAGAGCACAGCCAAGATGTGGGGTGGGGCAAGGGCCTACACTTGAGGATGAGACCTGCTGCAAAAAGACAAAGATACAAATAATTCCCCCCTTCCGCCCCCCATGCAGTCACCTCTATCTCCCCTAGAATGTTCTCACCAGATGCACGTAAGGTACAAAGTATCCCAGGACGGCTGTCGCAATCCCAAAAGCCCAAATTCGGTACGTCTGTATCCGGAAAACCCTCATGTTGAAATACTTCCGCATCTGAGACCCGCACTGCTGTTTCATGTTCCGGCTGGCCAGTTTATCTTGCCTATCCTGGCGAGAGTCACAAGAAGGTGGCAAGATGGGCCGGAAAGTCAGAGACAAGAGAATCTGGATGAACATAAAGGCGCTGAGAACTTGGAAAGTATGAGCTAGCCCGATGGTGCTCCCGATTGTTTTCAAAAAGAAGGGAAGGGACATTGAGAAGAGGCAGCTCCCTCCGGCCACGATGCCGTTCACCAAGCCTAGACGGCGTTTGAAGTAGTGGCCGAGGATGACCAGGGAGGGCTGGAAAGCAAAGGAACTGCCACATCCGAAGAGGATTCCATAGGTGAAATAGCGGACTTCAAGGGACCTATTGGCAAAAAACAACACCACCTTGGTTAAAATTGCAAAGGGTAACAGATATTGCTGTGTATTATTTATCTTCCAATAGAGCCTAGACTCTCTAGTCAAGGTCAGGTCCTATTTTGTGCTGGGCACTGTACAGATACATAGGAACAGACAGTTGCTGCCCTGAAGAGTTTATAACCTAGATAGACAAAGCAAGGTTTATCTCCATTTTACAGATGGCCCATTACATCTCATGGGCAGGGGCGGCTCCAGGCACCAGCGCAGCAAGCGCGTGCCTGGGGTGGCAACCCGCAGGGGGTGGGCTGCCGGTTGCCGTGAGGCGACAGTCAGGCTGCTTTCGGTGGCATGCCTGCGGGGGGGACGCCAGACCCGCGGGTTCGGCGGGCAATCGGGGGGCGGGGGGG